CATTTTTGTCACATAGAAAAGGGCCTCCGCCAGTCTAATGGGTTCTTCGTGAGGTCCAGGAAGATGGAGAGGGATGAGCCTTCAAAAGAGACTGGGGTTTTCCACCTTGTTGCTGTGAGAAATTAGGCTTTATCCTGTGAGGTTTGAAAGCAGATTATGAGACCTGCTATAGTTGTGGCTGGGGCAGTCGGTGGTTTTGGTATGTGGAACATACTATCTACCTTCATCATTTTAGCCTGCTTGGGTGGCATTAGGGCTGCAAAGGTAGTGTGGTACCCACAGCTTTAGGGATGCCCCTAACATTCAAATTATAGTGCCTCCTCTGGTCCTCCAGCATCTCCACCTGGGCCTCCGTGGCCCGCTAAGCTCCTCCAGCTTCTGCAACACATTAGCTAGCCCGGAATCTTAGACACTGCTCGTGGCCTCCAATAGCATGATTTTCTTGACGGCCATTTCCATGGCCACCCTAAAGTGTGACATGTCTGCCAAAATGTTGGAACGCAGCTCCCCCAGCATGGTCGTCAGAAGCGCTGCGGTTACCAGCTCCCTATCCTCGGCGGAGGCAGGCCTCACTTCCAGTTCTGGACGGTGAAATGTTCCCTCCTCCAGATCTGCGGCAAAGTCATCCAACGAATACGAGGATCCGTCCTCTCATGGTGCCATGTTGGGCCATGCAGCCTGTTGCAAGCGCAAGAGAAGTTAGCTGATATCTCGGCCAGTGGGCGCTTTATCTGCCTTTATGTTATTTGGAAATAAGTGTACTCACTTTTGTTGCCAACGGTTTAGACATTAATGGCTGTGTGTTGAGTTATTTTGAGGGGACAGCAAATTTACACTGTTATACAGGCTGTACACTTACTACTTTACATTGTAGCAGAGTGTCACATGAAAAGATATAATAAAATATTTACAAAAATGGGAGGGGTATACTCACTTTTGTCAGATACTTTATACATATTTGTGTACGGGGTAATTCGAGGACGTACAATTAAAAGTATGTAGTTCGATAAGGACAAAAGTCGGTTGAGGTGTGCCGAAACCGACGAGAGGTCAGGCCTGCAAAAGAGGGCCCACCTGGTATATAATTGAAAATAAAAAAGGGTGAGGTGGGAGGGGAACTTTCAGACGGCGACGATAGGTAAGCTGGGGTTACTGGGGATTTAAATAGGAAAATAACCCCTCCCACAAATTCAGGCATACGCCTTCCACTTGTGTACGGGGTAATTCGAGGACGTACAATTAAAAGTATGTAGTTCGATAAAGACAAAAGTCGGTTGAGGTGTGCCGAAACCGACGAGAGGTCAGGCCTGCAAAAGAGGGCAAAAATAGAAGACAAGATTAATTCACAGATTAGCAATTATTTAGTCACAATATCGATAAGAGAGTCTGATTTCTGTCCTTGGTTAGGAATGTTCCCATTGTAAAACAACTTACCATATTCTACTTATGTGTGTCGTAACACGCCGATTAGAGGCTGCTGTTGCACTGACATGGAATGAAAAGCCCGAGTAGGAGGAAGGATTAAGGCCTGGGTGGAGTAATTAAAGTAACAATTATCACAGTTATTATAGATGGTTAGGTTTAGTTAGAGATCTGGCTAACCTGGCCTTTGATTAAGAGTACAAACTTTGAACCGGGCACAATTTAAAACACCCAGCTCATATGTTTTGATATGAGGAGTAGATAATGTAACGATTGTTGATTCCGGAATTCTTTAGGCATAGGTGAAGGCTGAATGTTTCAGACAGTAATATTTTCCTTTGGCCTTAATAAATCATGGAATGCCAAGTGAGCTGCTGACACATATTAGTAGCGTTATTACAGGGAGGCTTATGGCTAAATCGAAAACTTCCCCTAAGATTTACTGTTGATAGGGAGTGAATTGAATGATTTGTGGAGTTTTTGATCTCGGGCACTAGTCGGCATCTTTACTGAATAATAAAAGAAAATGGGAGCTGTTGGGTATATGGTGTATACATAATGTTAAATTCCTGTAGGTAAAGTTTTAATAGTATTATAGGCTGGTTTCAAAGATAAGTGGCAAAAATTGTGCAAGCAGCCATTTATCACTGGAACGCACTTATTATCTTGAATCATACACAATACTTACCCACATCGTAGCTTTAGAGTAAGTTTGCTTAGTGTTAGTGGACGAATCTACCTGCTTAAAAAAAAAACCTCTAACTTAAGGCATGATAAGACCTTATTGAACTGCAGAGGATCCCTGAACTGAATGTTCTTCGAGCTCAGTTACATTTAAGCAAGGCCTGACCTCAGGACTTTAGGAGTGGCCAGGGCGGGGTATACTGCGGGGGACCCTTGGCAGGCTTGTTTCTTCTGGATGAGCGTTAATACCTTATATGTGTAAAAACTGGTAGAACCATGGCGAAAAAGGATTGAGAGAAAAAAAAAAAGTATCTGACAAATCTGACGCAATGCGAACCGACGAGCAAACGAAATACCGTGACTAACAGTAGGGAAAATGTGCTCTTAAGAGAGGAACCTGAAAAGGATCTTTGATTGTGGTTTAAGCTTAAATATATGTCATATAATAACTACCCTACAATCGTTTACTTGATAGGCTTGGGATTGTAATTAACTGTATTATAAGATGCCTATAGGTGTAACTTTTAAGAGAGAAACAGATAGCAAGACCGAAAGTCAGTCCTGATGTACTTTTGAACATAAATAACATAGTAAGATGTATGTAATATTAAATAGCGTAACATATGATTGAATGCGCATGGAGAACCTTGTGAATGTCAGGCGTGCTGAGACAGGTCCCTGTTAGCTGTCAAGGATTTGAATTGTATTCGTTTGTTCGTAATGAAGGCCGAGTGATGCTTTGATGTCTGATATGAAACAAGTGGGAATTCTGGTTTACCCAGTCTTTATTAGATTGCTAATGCTTTAACCTGCATTGCCTTGTATAATTGATGTAGACAAAATAATTAGGTGACAGTATGCGTCAACGTATGGTAATTTAGAACTCAATGTACTGAAATGCCCCTAATGGGCTGTAGAGTAATAACAGTATATCTGTAATGAATAAAATCTGGAAGCAGTCACTATATATACCCAAGCGTATTGAGGACCTGGCTATGGTCTGATACAAGGCCTGAATATGTACCATGTGTAAACGTAAAAGACAGCGTGTGGCCAATATACGTATTTAACGGAAAATATATGTAAGAACAATATGCCTGAAACAATTGTAGGAGGAAACCGCTGATCTTGGTTTCTATTACATTGATATGGGCACCTAGTGTATGTGGTATAAAAGGAACGCAAAGTGAGTGACAAGTTGGGGAAACATGTATATCCTTGTACTCATCCTTGTACTGTTATATCTAATTATGTAGGAGACCCTTAGCCCGTAAGTGATTGACGTATTAAAAGCCTGGATTGCCTTGTTTGATAGTTCTGACATACGGTTTGTATTACGGTAAGGATATATAAACTCACCATCGAAACTAAAGTTATAACGATGCGGGAAATAATCCGCTAGGACACCTGATCTGATTATCAGATATGAAACGTAACGGTTATGCATGACGGGGTTTGCAGGTTCGGTCCCCCAAGTACTACGTGTGTGTGTGCTGGCTGACTAGCTAGTGCCGCAATGCAGCGAAACGATTACTCTAGGTTGGTGACAGGTGAGGCCCTGCTAATTGCCAAGTGGCTTGAGAGGCTCTACCTATGCGTTGGCGCGAGGGGATAGCGTGGCCACTGAACGTTGTGGCGGGGTGTCGGCCTCTCGGTGACAATTAAACATAAGACAGAATGGGAGTGACAGGTGAGGCCCTCTCTATGCCACAATGCGAGGCGACTGACTATGATTTGGCCCGAGGGGCGTAGTACCTCCGAGTATGAGGATGGGTGTTGGCCTCGCGGGACCACTTAACCTAAGGCGAAGAAGCCAGGGGGAATGATAACTAGTGGACACCTAGGAACCTGACAGCCAGCCATTGCTACTTAAGAGGGACGGTTAGTTGTGAGAGAGAGGACATACCATTGGATGAAAACACGAGTGATAATAAAGTAGAATTGTAAGGCTGACCGTAACTGGAGTGCGCTGTGAGCACTTCGGGACAAGATGGTCGATACGTATGAACTACACTGCACGTATGTATGTATGTATGGCCCTCGTGGCTCGTGTTTTATTTTATTTATTTATTTCCCCTCTACCATACTATTTTAGTCATGAAATGGAATCCATTTAGCGGAATTTAGAAGCAGTGTAACAGTTGCAACGATTACAACTGTAATTTAAAATGGTACTCATAGTAGATACTGTGCGGGTAATTTGATTTGCCTGGACATTATGAGGGGTGTACTCGGTAGCGGCTCACTGCCCGAATCAACCCTAATGACCGTCCCGTAGTTTTAGGGTTTGTGTGAGTGAATGCATGCTGATCGTCAGCGGGTTTGTACAATGGTTGGAGAAATATCAATCTGAGTATAACACCGTTACTAGTTTAGAATAGGTTGAGAAACCACCAGTACAACTATCCCTATCATGGGACTGCTACGTGTAGTGAGAGCATAAGAGTGACAGTAACAGACATGATATAACAGGGGTTATTATAGGATGATACAGATTGTAAGGTATCAGCATGGGTTTAAGTTTTACTACCAAGAAAGACTGCCGCATTGTTAAAGTGGGTGAACATAGTCACTCAGGTTAGACTAATGTAACTTATCTTTCTTCAAAGAATCCTTTTTTTTTTATCATCCTGTAACAGCATTCATTGCTTTGTCTTAAAGGAGCAGTATATGCCAGTTTAAACTGCTGCCACTTCTACCAGTGCCCAGCGCAGTGTGTGGAAGGTGAGCAACGTTACCGCTCAGCTGCTGTAATTCTAGTGTCCCGGTGACATCACTGCCAGCCCCTGCCCTGCCGGTTAGGTGTCTCTGCCGGTGTGCGGCTGGTAGGGGGCGGCAGGGAGGCAGATACCGGGGCTAAGCCCGCAAGCCTTCTCCAGTCCCTAGTACAGATCATGGCTCCGGCGGTGCGGACCGTGGACACAGTGTCGGAATTTACAAGCTGTGTGAGTGTTTAGTCGCTTCCCGGGGATTTTTTTTTTTTTTTGTAAAGAATAAAACTAAATAAAACTGGGGGACATAAAGTAATGAAGAGCTGGAGCTTAAGAGGCTGGGGATAATGACTAGGAGTTTAAAGACGTATTACCGGTCTGTAAAGCGGCTGGGTTTAAACACTGTGCATTTTAAATTAAATATATTTATTTGTTGATGTTTGAACAGTTAAAATGAATCTAAGCATTGTTGTGTTGATTATTGTAACAATATGTTCTGATTGTGACATGTGCATGTTACTGTGTAATTTGTATGAGTAGAAAAATGGATTAGAAGGAAAACAAAGTGCCCTTGGTTGTTTGAATGACTCGACCCTGTTAGGGGAAGCTGCATAGTAGAATAGTAAGTGGTATTTCTCCTGGGGCTGTATGGTAGTCCTGCCTGCTAGACCGACTTTGATACCCCTAGGGACTGGGGGGGGTATTTATTAGGGAGATGTGACAACCGAGACCTAAGATTGGGAGGTGTGATATTCATGTGGTCCTGAGATTAACCTTATGCCCGGGCAAAAAGCGCGAACAAGATTCAGTGTAAAAGAAAAGATATATATATGTATATTTGCCACCTGTGGTTGCGGTCTCCTACGTGAGATTGCATATAAACGAAAGAAAAAGTTGAACGGCGTGAACATCCCGAACGCGGCTATTCTCGCCGCTTACCTGGTGTTCGTTAGTTTGTGCGTGTCTGTGCGAACGGACTGGTGGGAAGCCGCAAGGTATGACGGGACCGGAAGTGCGATGCCTGTTGAGGACCCGGAAGTGTGATGCCTGTTGAGGACCCGGAAGTTGGGAGGCGAGCAGGCCAGAACTTTCAGACGGCGACGATAGGTAAGCTGGGGTTACTGGGGATTTAAATAGGAAAATAACCCCTCCCACAAATTCAGGCATACGCCTTCCACATATAGAGAGAGAGAGAGTAACAAACCACCTCTTTTACCGGTAGGATTTTGTCACAGATCTTACGGTAACCACAGCCTTCTAGTCAAAGTCCAGGACACATCCAGCTCAGTTTTCCAGATTTATTTAGTGAAAAATATACAGGTGCTTTAAATAAAAAATACACAAAACCAAGTTCCTTGCTCTTGTTTGAGCTCTTACTAAACACAGTAATCACTATCTGGAATTGGGCGGCTTTCCCACTTACCAATTTACAATAACAAACTATACATGCAAAACACACCATTCCTCTGTCCTTCAGCTCTCCTAGCTGGCTTTTCTCCCTCACTCTGTAGAAGGCTAATCCCTTCTTTTAAAAGCCTGCCAGTTAATTGATCAGCTACAGGTGAGTTGAAATTAGTCCCATCTGTGGAACTATTAAGTTAAATACTCATTTGGGTCTGGCTGTTATATAGCAACTAGTGCTATTGGAGCACTGGCCTACCCTGCTCTCCAAATGCTCAGCCCCAGGGACCCTTACCGTGGTTTGTCGAGTACCAGCAATGTGTCTTGCAAACCTAACATCTCTCCCTGGGATATTTAATTGAGAAACATCAGACTGCTGTTAAAGGGACACTATAGTCACCAAAACAACTACAGCTTATTGAATTTGTTCTGGTGAGTAGAATCATTACCTGCAGGCTTTTTGCTGTAATCACTGTCTTTTCAGAGAAAATGCAGTGTTTACATTACAGCCTAGTGATAACTTCACTGGCCACTCCTCAGATGGCTGTTAGAGATCCTTCCTGGGTCATGGCTGCCTAAAATGCATCTAAACATTCAGTATCTCCTCCATCTGCATGCAGACACTGAACTTTCCTCATAGAGATACATTGATTCAATTCATCTCTATGAGGAGATGCTGATTGGTCAGGGCTGTGTTTGAATCATGCTGGCTCTGCCCCTGATCTGCCTCCTTGTCAGCCTCAACCAATCCTATGGGGAGGCACTGTGATTGGATCAGGCCACCACTTCTGATGATGTCAGCAGACAGCTTGTTTTTCTGGGTCTAACAGCATGCAGAGTTACAGATTGAATACAGTAAGATTTTGCTATATTTATGGAGGCATGAGGGACCCATGGGGGGCTAGATGGTGGTTTTAACACTATAGGGTTGGGAATACATGTTTGTGTTCCTGACCCTATAGTGATCCGTTAAGCAAAGCAGGCCTAATATATCTTCACTCAACCACCGTTCCACATTTTCACTCACAATATATATAGTTGTTTGGCTATGCATCTTGTTTGCAGCAGGTTATAACAGCAAAGGGTGCTCTACTAAGTACTAAAGATGCTTGCCATAAATTTTGAGACTGGAGAAATCATTATAAGTTGCATTTTCTGTTGAATTTGGGGAAACCACTTGAAGCATTTATGTGTTGAGCTATTTGAATTGCTTTTGTTTGATTTGTGCATTGCAAACAGCTGAAAGTCTGTAAATTTTGACAATAAATCTGATTTTCAATGGGGGTTGAATAATTTTGATTACAAATATATATATATATATATATATATATATATATATATATATATATACATTGAAGATGCTATAAACTCACTTCCGTTACAATAATCCAGGCCAAGTTCAATGAAGTATAACACGTTCATTTTAATCACTTTGCCAGAAGGTAAACGTTTAGTGGGGAAACGATGGATGTATGCAGTAAAGAACAAAACTGATGGATAAGATGAGTTGCTAAAGATTACAATCTAGTCAAGGGAGTTAGTTATGAAGAAATACTGTGACAACTTATTTACATTGATTGTGTAAATAATATGTAGAACAGTCAAAAAGTTTTGAGGTCAAGACCAAGCTGAATAAAAAACTAGTTCTCAAGTTAAACAAAGTACTACAAAACCAATCAAGTGAAAATAACTACACAAAAACAAACAGTCTCCAGTAGTTTTGTCCTCGTGTGAAGTCGAATATATGGCCTGATGCAGTTTCTCAGGGGAATGGATAATCAATCTCAATATGAACCAGTACATGTTTTCGGGAAATCAGGAAGCAGTAACTCTTCCAAGACACCCGGATTGTCACTAAAGATGTGAGCATATTGATATCAAATATCAGTTACCCAATCAGTGATCAATAAAGATGTCATGGAACATGATTACTGCTCAGTCAACAAGCCGGCAACAAAGTTTAAATTAAAATTTTCTTGATGTAAATTGATGGGAAGTAAATTCTACATAAAATATTTATTGAGAAGATGCAACTGAACACAAACTGAGCAATGTTTCTCATTGGAATATGTCTCATAAAACACACAGACACAATGTAATAAGTGTGACTAATCTGAGACTAGAACCACAGAAGTGTCAGCGATTAGTGGCAGAACAGCCGCATGAAAGTGTTGATATTCCCTGGAGTGGCAAAAAATGTATCCATTTATTGGAGTAATTTAAATTGCTGAACTGCTTGATTCTTCATTATTTCACAGCCCGCCACCACCTTGTAACAATTACTATTATTTATTAAGCGCTAATATATTCTGCAGCGTTGTGCAATAGGTAAGCAAGACAGACAATTCTAACAAAGTTAGTTTAACATCCCGCTTCTGTGGGTTTTATTTTTTTTTTGTGTTTTCTACCAATGGGCAAACCATTTAAAAAAAACGTGTTTTTTTCAAATATGGGTCAGCTCGCTGTCAGTAGTGAGGTTTTGCATTTGTTTGCAGACACTGCCATGGTGGCACCTGTGAAGAAAGGACAAAGATAAAAATACTTACCTATCTCTCTCCTTTGGTACCTTCATCTTCCAGAACCATATACCATTTAGATTGCAGTGGATTCATCTGTCAGGACCTGCTTCCCTGGTGTATTCTGGCACAGATATTGTCCCCTGTGTCTCTAGCATGTTAAGATTGGCAAGGAGGATATAGGCTGCAGTTTAACGCCATTCTTCTCCAGGTTAAAAGAGCTGGAGGTCCATTGGGATGTCTGTTGGTACACTTCTGCACCAGAGAGACAGAAGGCAAGAATTATGCGAGTCTTTGCCAGCCTTGCACTTTGTAAGTTTGTGCATTCTCAGCTAACCTGCCCTCACAATTTTGTCCAGTTTGGACTGGTCCTCTGGGATTATTTATAGTGGACTCCTTTATGTGGGGGTGAGCATGGTGTCAGATTATGAAGTGTTTATAAATGACAACAGTGCTTAACATATTTATAAAATGTCATCGGTGGCAAACAGAGTCTTCGGGTTATGTTTAAAAAGTGTTGTGTTCACATTTTGGGCTCTTTTTATGGCATTTTTTTTCCCAAGTAATATTATTCATTAAAAAAAAACAAGCCAAATAAGAAAAGCCAACTACTAATCTTTTCCAGATTTTGTCAGTTTGAAATGCGACATATGCACTGTTGGAGAGACAAAAATAGAGAAACAATAAACAATAGTGTAAATGTACTAGCACTCACAAAAGTAGAACCAAAAATGACACTTGGCTCTGGAGGTAGACATAATAGGACTATTATGGCTTGTCTTGATCTCTCTTCTATAAGTAATGCTTTAAGCCGGAATGTGTTAACACTGCAAAAACAGAAACAGCCCCATAGCATTCCTTGTTCTCAAGTATGAAGGTAAATAGAAGCACTCATGTGATTTTAAACCCAATATTGTTGTTACTTAAAGGACCACTATAGGCACCCAGACCACTTCAGCTTAATGAAGTGGTCTGGGTGCCAGGTCCATCTAGGATTAACCCTGCATGCTGTAAACATAGCAGTTTTAAAGAAACTACTATGTTTACTTTAGGGTTAATCCAGCCTCTAGTGGCTGGCTCATTGACAGCCGCTAGAGGCGCTTCCGCGCTTCTCACTGTGATTTTCACAGTGAGAAGACGCCAATGTCCATAGGAAAGCATTAATGCTTTCCTATGACACTGGCTGAATGCGCGCTCGGCATGCGCATTCAGCTGATGACGGCAGAAGAAGGAGGAGATTCCCCAGTGCTGAGGCAGCCCGGCGCTGGAAAAGGGTAGGAATTTAACCCCTTCCTTACCCTAGAGCCCGGCGGGAGGGTGAGGGGACCCAAGGACCCTATAGAACCAGGAAAACGAGTATATTTTCCTGGCACTATAGTGGTCCTTTAAATGTCCAATAAATGTTTTGCCTGGTTTAGCTTTGCATTTTGGACATTTTAGTAGGACAATATTATTTTTATTTGCTTGAAATTGAATTTATCCAATAAATTCTGTGTTTTGTTACCAACCTTATAAGGGGGGTTTTATCTTTCTGAGGACATTTATACCATTTATACCATAGTAAATATGGAGCCAGCTATATTGGGCTCAACATCACAAGACTGCTTCCAATTACCTCGATACTTGAAAACAAGGTTGCATATCTATCAAACTCAATATAACTGTATTCACTCTGATGAAATCCAGTAAATTGCAAGTAAATACATCTTAATAAATACATCTACAATTTTACAGGCAAAGAAAATCTGCAGTACAATTAGCCAGTGAACAAAGGATTAAAGTGACCACAGTGACCAACTCTGTTAAAACTTAGCATTTTGTTTGTTTTTATAATCAGATTGTTGATTTCAGCTGAAATCTTGACACCAATTAAGGTAATACTGAAAATCTTTTGCAAAATCTGGACGTTGATAAATCTGGCGAACAATGTATAGATTTTGTGGTCAGAATACCCGCACCTAGTTGTGGATTATTTTTCATCATCTGATCTGGGCGCTTTAGTGAATTAGGTGAATAACCCTGTACAGTCTCTGATTTAAAAAAAATAATAATAATAATGTCAGGAAATAAAGGGAAAAATGTATTAAAGGGAAATTCTCCCAAGGACAATTCCATCAGTTCTAAAGG